CACTGTACTTGCAGGAAAGCAAGGGCACTGAACCTGGCGGTTTGGAAGGGAGAGCCCAGAAGACCTTCCAGACCTATGCACCAGCCCACATGGAAGTCCTGGGTTGGGCTTGTTAGCATGGAACATGACTGACCACCACACGCCAGTATACATAGAAAGCTATGGCTGGAGGCCTGTCTGGCAGCTAAATCTCAATACCTGACAGTGAGTGTCAGATCAGGGAATGGGTCAAACTGGGCCATGACACCAACCTGCATGCAAGAGAACCATGTCCAGGCATGTATTCTGTGAGAGATATGTGGGTCCAGCCCTGTGGAAATACAAGTCTTGCTGGTTAGCCTGAGAGTTGGGATAGTGATGGGTTCAGCTAGGCATGAACATGGAACTCACCATTGCTCACCAGTGGTGTGACTGGGAACACACGGGAAAGGTCCAGGCTGCAGCACCTGCAAGAACACCCCAAAAAAACAGGGTGTGGGGTGGGATGGGCCGGGCAGCACCAGCTCTTACAAAGGCCAGTATGAGGGCCCCATGGCGTGGCCTAGTGGCTAAAGTCCTCGCCTTGAATGCACCAGGATTCCATATGGGCGCCGGTTCTAATCCCGGCAGCTCCACTTCCCATCCAGCTCTCTGCTTGTGGCCTGGGAAGGCAGCTGAGGATGGCCCAAAGCCTTGGGACCCTGTACCCATGTGGGAGACCCGGAAGAAGTTCCTGGATCCTGGCTTCAGAATGGCATAGCATCAGCTGTGCGCTCACTTGGGGAGTGAATCATCGGATGGAAGATCTTCCTCTCTGTCTCTCCTCTTCTCTGTATATCTGACTTTCCAATAAATAAATATTAAAAAAAAAAAAAACAAAAGGCCGGGACGAATGGGTCAGGCCATGCTGTGTAAGGGCCAAACACCCTCTGAGAGTGGCCAAGCAGGGGAACCTGGGAAATTCCCCTAGTGGGTCAGAGCTCCTACTGAGGAGCATGTGGTCCAGGCCTGGGTACTAAGCAGGCTGGGAAGGGTAGCTCCATCTGTTGGCAAGTGCATGAGTTGGTTTTGGAAGAGGGTGCCCCAGGTGGGCAGGGCAGAGCAAATCTTAGCCTACTGGCAAGTGCAGAAAACAGGATGGAGTGCAGGTCATGTTGGGCTAGGCCACCACACCTACTGGTTTGCATGAGTCAGGGATGAGAGCAGACTGAGCAGGGCTAGGTTACAGTACCTGCCAGTGAGAGTTGGGACTAGGGACTAGCTGGGTCAGATCAGGTTGTAGCATCCAAAGGCAAAGGTCAAGACAGGTGAGGGGCTATGCCAACCTGGGTCAGAGCAACCACTGGCACATGTGAGATCTGTGGCTGCCAATAGGCCTGGTTGGGGAGCTAAGGGAACACCCTGGCTGGGCTGTGGGTCCCACTGGTGAGTGCAGGGGTCAGAGTTGGGGCTGTGGTCTGGTCTAGATATGGATGCAATTCCCCTCAGCACAAGTGTAGACTGCGTCTGGGGTGTGCAAGACTGGGCTAGACTCTAGCACCCACTGGAAATCATGAGAATCAAGATGGGCTGGGCTAGGATTCTGCCCCAGCTGAGCCATGTATGAGCTGTGTCCAGACTAAGCTTACCCAACAGTAAGAAAGTGAGTGGGTGAAGGCCAGTCAGGAAAGGCCACTGTTCCTGCTAGGACAAGAGGTGGATTAAGTAGGGCTAGGTCATGGACCCACTGGTTCATGAAAGATCCGGCATTGGAAGAGGTTCTGACAGAGGAGCATGGGGAACTCTTCTATCAGGACATAGTCCCTGCAGGTGAACACAAGAACCAAGACAGAGAGCAGCCCAGAGCAGGCCAGGTTATGGCACCCACCAGCATACATTTGGCTCAAGTCTGAAAGCAAGGCAGGCTGGGCCAGTGCATATTACCTGCTGTCTAAAATTAGAATGGTGTGGGGGTCATGCTGGGTAGGGCCACAATACCAGCCAGTTCACGCTAGGGCCAGGACTAGGGACTGGTGGGGTTGGCGGGGCTGGCTGAATTGTCTAGGCTTTGGTCCGTACCAGCTGAGCTGAAACTGGGGACAGGCTGGGCCTACAGCACTCACTGGCAAATGCCAAGGTAAGGTGAACCATACATACCAGACTAGGCCGCAGCACCTAACCAGCACACATGAGACCCAGGGGGGGAGCAGGTGAACCCAATAGGAGGACTGCAGAGAGCTCCCCTGCCGGGCCACTATTCCCACTGGTGAGCCTGAGAGCTGGGATGGAGGGCAGACCAGGCTGAGCAGGGCTGCAATACCTGTTGGCCTGCATGTAAGCTGGATCAGGGACAGGCCAGGTTGGGCAGACTGTATCTACTGATACATGCATAAGTAGACTGTATCTACTGATACATGTATCTACTGATACATGGTTGGGTGTTGCTGCAGCTTCAGCTAGCAGATGCTGGCATGGGAGGAAAACTGTCGAGCTAAACTGTAGTACCACCTGGAGAGTGCATGATCCAGGAATGGGAGTGGGCCCAGTAGGAAAACAGTGGGCACCTCCCTTTTGGGTTGCCACTCCCACTGGTGAGCATGAGAACCAGGACTGGGAGAGGCATGGCTAGATAGAGTGGCACTCACCAGCACATGTGTAGGTTGAACAGTGGGGCTGGTTGGGTTGAATTAGGCTTCAGTGCCCACTAACACATATGAGAGCTGAATGGGATGTGAGACAGACTGGAGCAGTCGGTTGTACATCCTGACAACCATGGAAACCAGGGCAGGAGGCAGGCCTGATGGGGGTTATTGTGGGTTGCTTCAACTAGGCTACAACTCCCACTGGTTTGTATAGGGGCCAAGTGTGTGGTGGGCAGGATCAGACTGAACTACAATACTCATTAGTTTGTGTAAAAGACGAGGCTGGAGACAACTGATCCAGCAATTGCAGCTAACAATGTGCGCACAAGCCAATTTGGACGACAGACTGTGCCAGACCGTGCATTGCCAAGCACACACAATAATCAGGTCTGGGATCACCTCAGATGAAGTTTCTTCAGGAATCCCCCCAACTTAAGTGCTGCACTGAGAACTCCAACCATGGAGGAAATTACAGGTTCCGTGGTCTGACCGTGGAATGTATGTTTTAGAGTTGGGCCTCCTCAGTGGGTTAGACAGAGCAGTGAACTGCATATCCAGATGCACATGGAGGATATGGCAGTATACTTGGTCTTGCATAGGATACCTGGTACCATAACAGAGGACAGAACAAATCAATCAACTATCCCAATCAAGCATTGGCTGTGACCACCTGGGCAAGCAGAGTCTCTAAGGTGGACTGTGTCAGATAGTGGAGTCTAAAGAGATTTCATCGTGATTGGAATGGCACAATTAACAGCAATACAGAACTGTTAAACTATCAAAACCACTTCAGCGGGCCCTCAGAGCATGCCCGAGGAAAATCGGGGACCCTGGGATAGTTGGGAGGCTAGGTGTAGCTTCTCCCCTTATCTTTCCTTTCCCCCCATATACAGGAAGGAAAAAAGAGAATGTCAAAACAATGGTCTCACCCACTTTCCAAAAGCCCTTGACCCTTTGCACCTTAATCAAATATGTAAAAAGTATAAAAAACAAAATTTATACAATAAAAAAATTCTGATGCTACTCCTAAGTACTTATTTCAATATTGCCAAATGACAAGAACAGGGACTATCAATGAGTTTTAAAATTTTTAACTGTTAAGACTACTTTGATGGGCTGAACCAGGCCATAGCACCTGCAGGCATATGCAAGGGCCTGGTTGAAGTTCTTAAGGCTGTAGCACATGTTGTACATGCAAGAGCAGAGGATTGGGGCAGGCCAAGTTACTGCACCTTTTGGCACACACGAGGAGTATTGGAAGGTAGGCTACAAAACCCACCGATGCGCACACAGGGCTCAGGCAGAGGGTGGGCCAGGCCGAGCCACTGCACCCATCAGTGTACACTAGAGTCAGGTCTGGGGACAAGGCCAGTTAGGGGTTTCGGGGGGGGAGGTTCATCATGCAGGAACACTACATCCAATCACTAGCCTCAGTGAGCATGACATGGACTAGTGGTCTGGTCTCAGAGCCCCTGTTGCAGTACTGGGCTGTCTCTGTTGCTGACTCCTACACAAGAATAAGCAACATGTCAGGATGCACTTTCAAAACAAAACTGCCAGCCTCTCTGAAGCAACAGAAGACCTCAAGTACCTCATCAAAGAGTGGAAAGAGCATCAGGTTGAATAATACCACAGGCCAAGTTTTTCACCAAGTGCCTAAGGCCATGGGCATGGACAGCCAGCAGGCCTTGGAAGCACTTTCTTACCTCTGGCACAATAAAACCAACAACATATCAGAACAATCAAGACTGCTCAAGTAACAGCTGCAGGACATTCTTCGTCACTGAGGTCCCTGGGACATTAAGAGACTATCTCTGGCCCCTGGTGCTAATGTGATCTGATAGGGAGTGGAGCAACATTTATCTCTTCTTCCATCTTCCACTCATACCAGTTGTAGGAGAGTGGGGACTTTTCCATCACCCACCATCCCCATGTCCCATCCCTCTCCATCCTACTGGAAAGTCCACATTGGTCTGCAACCCATTATCTATATAACAAACATTAGAAATAAAATAAATTACCAAAAAATGTAGAGAAATTTAGAGAAAGAGTTGAACTAGTTTTTCCTATTTGGTTATAATATGAAATGTGCTTGGAAAATATGGCACAAGTTCTGAGTTTCTACACCCTCAAGAATTTTCTCACTCCTTCATAACATGTTTCTCAGATGTAAATAGTTTCATAGTTGTTTTCAGCTATACTGCCATAATAATATAATAAAAAGAAAAAAGTTTTATTCTTATTTCTGGAAAACCAAATATTATAAACAGTTTTAGTTGGAATTTTCATAAGACCTGGTTGGAAATAATACCTCTCACTCCAAATATGTTTAGGAAATCTAAAACTTAACTGCAATAACAATTACAATATAATTTCAAATGAGGGTTTAAAAATACTCACTTTTTGCCACTCAAGTTCTTGAGTTTCCACAATAACTTTGCGAATCTGTTCTTCATACCGAGTCTCTGCTTCCTAGGTCAGAAACAAAAAGAAAAAGGTTGTGAAAATTAGAACTTTAAAATTGTAAAAGCCAGAGTACTCTGAGGGGTACTTGAGAACCCATGAACGAAGGAGATCCCTACCCTGTAAAAGAGTTTTCTTTAAGGAAAATCACCAGGTGCTTACAAGAAAAGTCAGAAAGATTCCCAAGAGCTGCACGGAGCCAGCAGCAGCTTCCTTCCACCTTGTGAAGACAAAGCCACCAGCGGCTCCGCTCTCTTCCATGAACTCTGGAGTATGGGATGAGTGGGCTTGTGTTTTGGTGCCAAGGGCAGTTGAGTGGTAGGAAGGGAAGGTCCCATGTTGGTGTGGTGTGCTAGTGGGCAGGGTCTGGAGTCTCACACATGCACTTACAGCCCAAGTGGGCAAAGGGGACCTTAGTCCCAAACTGGCATGCATGCCAGAGGACCAGTTCTGGAAGCCTGTGCATGTCCTAGGGTCCCTGGTAAGCAGGCAGAGCTCCAGGCCAGCACACCACCCCACCTGAAGACTAGGCTCATCGCCTCTTAGTCTATTGGCTAAGATCAAGCACAGAAGACTGAGCTCAGGAAGACTGGGCTGGGGAACCCATGTGCTCCCAGGTACATGTACTGTGAAATGCTGAGATATGGGTATGTGAGGGAGGAAGGACTGTGGGAGATCACCCCTCGATCTCTGCCGGCTAACCAAGACTTCAACCTGGCCTAACCACTGGTCCATCAGGTGAGAGCAGTGGACTGCATCCTACCCTCTTTTCTGTCCTTGGATGAGCTGTGCTGGGACTTCCTTGATAAGCAGCTCTAAGAAGTCAAAAGTGACCCACAGCCTATTTGCCAGCCACAAGTAGTGAATGAGGCATAGATTCCAGCCTGCATGCGGAACTCAACTTGAGACTTGGTTGGAGGGCCCAGCAAGATAGACATGCCTTCTAGCCGGTTACAGTGTCGTTGTTGGGTGGTTGGACTGTTGGGAAATGCCCTTCTGCCTTCCCCTTTCCTAGTCTATGTAAGTTGTGCTTGCTTTACAATAAACAAATATGCTCCATCAGACTGTCCCAGGTGGTTCATACGGTAAAAGAAAGCTGTCATCTCACCCCCTCGGTGGTCTCGGGGGCCAGCTGGCAGGAAGAAAAATGCCCAACAAAGGAACACTGAGGGAGTATATCACAGATGAGAAATGACTTCTAGAAGACTTCCACCTATAAGGACACTATACTTGCAGGTAAGTGAGGGGGCTGAGACTGAGTGTTTTGAAGCAGGGGGTGTGGGGGGACTGGAAGACCTTTCTGGATCAGACCAATATACCCGCCAATGTAAGACACCTGAGCTGGGCTAATTAGCATCAACCACTGCCAACCACCACCCACCGGCACACACTAAAGCTAGGGTTGAGGGCCTACATGACAGGACTAGATCACAGTACCCACCAGTGAGTATCAGAACAGGAAATGGGTAACAATAGGCTAGGCCATGACACTAACCACCTCATGAAAGAACCAGTTCTGGGGGCAGATTCTGTGGGGGATTTGTGGGCTCATCACTGTGGAACCACGATACTCACTGGTTTGTTTGGGGAAGGTAACAGGCTGAGCTAGGCATGACCATGGAACCCCTAGACACTCATGGGTACTGTGATTGGGAATAGGCCAGGCTGGTCCAGGCTGCAACACCCATGGGTGTACCCAAGAATAGGGTATGGGGCAGGCTGGGCCTCAACATCCTCCAGCACACATAAAGGCCAAGACAGAGGGGATAGCCTATGTTGGGTAAGGGCCTAGCACCCACTGCCACACATGAAATCTGGGTCTGGAAGTGAACCTGGTGGAGAACTTAGGGGACTCCCCTGGTGGGCTGTAGCTCCCGCTGGTGAGCATGTGATTTCAGGCCTGGGTGCTGGTCAGGCTAAACTGTAGCACATTGGCATGTGCAGGAGCCAGAATGGAGCGTGGGTCACGCTGAGCTAGGCTATCACACCTACTGGCGTGCATGAAAACCAGAAATGGGGACAGGCTGGGCAGGGCTAGGCTGCAGTAGCCACCAATGAAAGTTGGGACAAGGAGTGGGCTGGGCCAAGGACCCATCAGTGTGCACGAGATCTGTCACTGGGAGGTAACTCAATAAAGGAAACTCCTCTGTCATGATGCAGTCTCTGCATGTTAGAGCAAGAACCAAGACTGAAAGCAGCCCAGGCTAGATCAGGCTATAGTACTGCTAGACCCCATATTGGCTGGCACACAGCAGTCAGGTCTGGGGTTACCTCAGATGAGGTTTCTTTGGGGACCCCTCATATGGATGGCTAGTCTCAGAACTCCGACTATGGGGAAAATCACAGTGTCTGTGATCTGACCATGAAACACATGTATCAGAAGTAAGCCTCCTCAGTTGCTGAAGACGGTGGACTGCACGAACAGATGCACATGGGGGATACAACAGTCCACTGGGGTCTGCAAAGGACATCTAGTACCACAGCAGAGGATGGAAATAAGAACAAATTGGACAACTTTCCCAGCCAAGCTTTGACAAAAAGTATCTTGGTAAATGGACACTCTAAAGTGGACTATGTCAGTCAGTGGACCTTGGACTTCTTCATCCTTGGAGCAACAAAATCAATAAAAGCATTTCATAACTATCAAAACCACTTGAGCAGTACCCTAGGAACATGCTCCACATCAGGGACCCTGGGATGACACTGGATAGCCATCCATCAACCCCAAGTACTTATGTGATTAGGATGCTGGTTGCAACTTCTCCCTTTCCCCCAGGTATAGGAAGAAAAAGAAAATTGGAAACAATGGTCTCATCTACTTTGCCCTAATCCTCGACCATTCCCACCCTAACCAGTGGTCCACATGTGCATGCACCTTTCTCACCTTTATAAACATCCTCAAAAATAAAAGTTAAAAAAAATGAGGGCCCAACGTGGTAGCTTAATGGCTAATTCCTCACCTTGCAATCACCAGGATTCTATACGGGCACTAGTTCAGGTCCCGGCTGCTCCACTTCCCCTCCAACTCCCTGCTTATGGCCTGGGAAAGCAGAAAAGCGCAGCCCAAAGCTGTGGGACCCTGCACTGGCATGGGAGACCTGAGGAAGCTCCTGGCTCCTGGCTTCAGATCAGCTCAGCTTTGGCCATTGTGCCCACTTGAATGAACCAGTGGACAAAAGATCTTTCTGCCTCTCTTTCCCTCTGTAAATTTGACTTTCCAATAAAAATAAATATTTTTAAAAATACTAAAAGAGCTCTGGTTTATTTAAAATAATGAAATCTCTTGTATTAGTCCAAACCATAACAAACGACATCATTGGAGAAATCTGAAGCTGCTGCTGGGGATTGCACAGGCAGAGCGTAAAGCTGCCTGACTATGGGCTGACAATGAGAGCACTTCTTTAATTTTTTGTTTCCTCTTTTGGTGTTAGTTGTTTAAGGAAACCTCTATCAGCCACTAGCTGATCCCTAAACTAACAGAAGAGCAACTTCAGAGGCCAAACACAACAAAGACTTCACAAATCAATTTTTTTAAAGACAGAAAATAAATGATGATGATGAAAACAAGCAGCAATCCTGGGGAGGGGAAAGAATTAACTTATAGAGTAACCAAATATCCGACATGGTTTTCAACAAAATACTACAAGGCATGCAAGGAAACACTAAAGGTTATCCATACAAAGAGGGAAAAAATTTTGATAGAAACCATCCCTGGAGAAGTCCAAACATTACTTATTTTACAGGCTTTAAATCAACTATTAAAAATGTGCTAAGAGAGCTAAAAGAAACCACATAGGAAAAAGACTGTGGCTAAAATATAACGAGGAATACTACAAACAAGTTTATACACATAAATTTGACAACTTGCAGAAGCAGACCAATTCCTTAAAATCTACAAGCTACCAAACCATAGTCAAGATAAGAGAGATAATCTGACTTGCCCTGTAACTCTTAAAGAAATATACTTTGTAATTTAAAATCTCCTCCTAAAGAAATCTCCAAGCCCAAATGACTTCACTGGAGAAAGCTGACAAACACTAAACAAAGTATTAACATAACATTACAGCCACTTCCAGAAGAGGAGCAACCAAAGGTGTAAGGTCTGTTTACCAAGACATCAGTACTAAAGACAACATACCAAAAAACTGAGAAAAGTATCTCTTACAATTTTTGATGCAAAACATCCTTAATAACATATTAGCAAATAGAATACAACATTGTGTTTTAAGGAAGGAAGGAAGGTTATAGATTATAACCTATAGAATTAGTCCATGTATGAAGAGTAGGTTTGACAAACGAAATTCAATTAGTACAATATATCACAATAAATTAAATACTTTATCATCAATTTACACATACCAAAAACTGTTTGACAAAAATCCAACCCCTACTCTTGATTTTTTTTTAAAAAATCTGGAAGAGCAGAATTACTTTTTGTAAAGATCATTTATGAAAACTATACATATATCCTCATATTTAAAGGTGAAACACTAAACATTTTCACTCTAACATCAAAAACAAGGCAGGAATTTCTACTGTCGAAGCTCCTATTCAACATAGCTAAAAAGTTCTAGACAGTTCAAGAAGGCAGAAATAAGCAGACTGGAAAGAAAACTACCTGTATTTGTAAATGACATTATTTTATGCTTTTTGAAAAATCCTAAGGAACCTATAAAAAAAAAAGTCCCAATACTAATAAGTAATTCAACTATGTCAAAGGACATAGATAGTTACAAAGAAATAAAGCAAACCAGTAACACTTCTAAATATTAGCAATGAACATGAAGAATTAAAACTATAATACATTTTATCATCCCTCTCCTTCCTTGTCCTGGGCAATAGCCCACAGCCTGAGTCACATGGTACAGGCTAAGGTCCCTTCTGGGAGCCCAGAACCAGAGTCATGAGACCAAGATGGCTGCCCAGTGAGGACAGGAGGGGGGCTGGGGTTATGCCACACTGCACAGGCTGGGATCTCTTGAAGGGGTCCAAGGCCAATAACACACAGG